TAAGGGATAAACATGAAGATGTAAAATGTGGTATCAGAAACGATGTGGGGGATGGGGGTAAAAAATTGTAGATCTTTTAGAATATGTTTCAACTTAAATGACTATTAGTTAAAGCAAGTAGATGCAGTTATAGATCAACATTATGAACCCCATGATAACCACAGATGAAAAACCTATAATAGATACACAAGAACTAAAAAGAATACAAGCATACTACTAAAGAAAGTCATCAGACCACTAGGGAAGAAACAAAAATAAGAAATGAACAGAGAAGAACCACAAAAACAACCAAGAAACAAGTCATAAAATGCAGTAAGTACATGCCTATCAATAATTACTGTAAATGTCAGTGGACTGAATGCGTCAATCAAAAGACAGGTGACTGATTGGATTTTAAAAAAATGAGACCTACAAAACCTGCTGCCTACAAGAGACATTTCAAAGCTAAAGACAGACTGAAAGTGAGGGGCTGGAAAAAGTTATTCTTGAAAACGGAAATGACAAGAAACTAGGGGTAGTAATTTGCAGATAAAGTAGACTTTAAAACAAGACTATAACAAAAGACAAGGTAGGGCATTATGTAATAATAAAGGGATCTATACAAAAAGAGGGTATTACACTTGTTAACATATAAGCACCCAATACAGAAGCACCTAAATATAGAAAGCAAATACTAACAGACAAAGTGGAAGAAATTGATAATACAATAATAGAAGGGAACTTTAACACCTCACTTATCTCAGTAGACATCTTATCTAGACAGAAAGTCAGTAAGACAATAGTGGTCTTAAATGACATAATAGACCTCTCGGACTTAATAGATATCTACAGGACATTACATCCAAAAGCAGCAGAATATGGAACATTCTCCAGGATAGGTAACAGTGCTAGGTCATAAACAAATCTCAACAAATTTAAGAGGATAGAAACTATATCAAGCAGTTTTTCTGACAATAGCAGTATGAAACTAGAAATCAATTACAGGCATTAAAATGGGAGAAGAACACATACTTGGAGACTAAAGAACATGTACTAAAACACCAGTGGGTCAATGAAGAAATCAAAGAAGAAATGAGAAGATACCTTGAGACTAATGAAATGGAGATGCAGTACTCCAAAGTCTATGGAATATAGCAAAAGCCATTCTGAGTGGGGAGTTTATAGCAATGCAAGCCTTCCTCAAGAAACAAGAAAAATCTCAAGTAAACAACTTAACCTATCACCTAAAAGAAATAGAAGAAGAACAAATGAAGTCCAAAGCCAGCAGAAGGAAGGAAGTAAAGATCAGAAAAGAAACAAATAAAATAGAAATCAGCAAAACAATAGAAAGTGTCAGTGAAACCAAGAGCAGATTTTTTGAAAAGGTAAACAAAATTGATAAACTTTTAGCCAGGATCACCAAGAAGAACAGAGAGAAGACCCAAATAAAGTAATAAATGAAAGAGGTCAGATAACAATGAATACCACAGAGATACAAAAAAATCATAAGAGAACACTGCTAACAGTTATATGCCAACATACTGGACAGGCTAGAAGAAATGGGCAAATTTCTAGAAACATACAAGCTGTCAATACTGAATCAAGAAGAAGGAGACCAAGCACTAGTAGTAAAATTGAATTTGTAGTAATAATAATAATAATTTCTAGCAAACAAAAGCTCAGGACCAGACAGCTTCAGAGGAGAGTTCTACCAAACATATAAAGAAGAGCTAATACCTATCTTCTCAATATATTCCAAAAAATTGAAGAGAAAGAATACTCCCAAATTCATTCTATGAGGCCACCATTAATTACCCTGATACCAAACCAAAGACAAGACAAAAAAAAAAATTACAAACCAGTGACTTTGGTGAATATAGATTCAAAAATCCTCCACGAAATAGCAAACTGAATCCAACAGTATATAAAAAGGATGATACACAGCGATCAAGTTGGATTTATTCCAGGAATGTATTTATAATTTTTTTTTCACCAGCCCTGTGAGTGTACATATTGAAATTGGTCCCGATGGCAGAGTAACTGGTGAAGCAGATGTCAAGTTTGCGACTCATGAAGATGCTGTGGCAGCTGTGTCAAAAGACAAAGCAAGTAGGCAACACAGATATGTAGAACTCCTGAATTCTACAGCAGGAGCACACGGTGGTGCTTAAGATAGCCGAAGGACAGGAGGCACGGGCTTGTCAGAGCAGTCCAGTTATGGTGGTCCAGCCAGCCGGCAACTGAGCGGTGGTTATGGAGGCAGCTACGGCAGCCAGAGCAGCATGAGTGGATATGACCAAGTTTTACAGGAAAACTCCGGTGATTTTCAAACATTGCACAGGCAGCCAAGGAGCAGTGACCAGCAGCTACTACAGCCGTGGCAGCCGAGCATCTGGGAGTGAACGGAATGGGA